AGGGCAGCAGAATCCAGCTCTTAGGGTGGCCTTATTCCCTAAGTAAGTAATCTTGTGGATCAATGTACCATGCTACTTAACGTGCGCCAGGGTGGCCAAAGCTGGCTATTTCGAGAGGCGGTTTTAGTGGTCTAAGCATTTAGATTTAGAAGATCCCGGTTTGGGATGCTTAGATTACTTTTAGCTACAAATTCAAATACAGGAAGGCTTGAGTGGCCTCTCTTCCAAGGCAGCTAAAATGAGTATCTCATATTTCACTGTCAAATATTTCAGTTGCTGAGGTCAGACGACAGGTTTCAGAGTAACAGCCGTGTTAGTCTGTATTCGCAAAAAGAAAAGGAGTACTTGTGGCACCTTAGAGACTAACCAATTTATTGGAGCATAAGCTTTCGTGAGCTACAGCTCACTTCATCGGATGAAGTGAGCTGTAGCTCACGAAAGCTTATGCTCCAATAAATTGGTTAGTCTCTAAGGTGCCACAAGTCCTCCTTTTCTTTTTGAGGTCGGAAGAGTTGTTCCTATACAGGAAGAGCATAATCTGGCCCATGATGCTGTGGCGGATATTTTCCACAGCGCTCAGCATTGGCCTAACACTGCTCCTATTGGGTTCAATGGAAGTTCTACCAAGTATTTGACAGTTGTGCTGTTTGTTTCTCCATTTTACATATTTTCATCAGAACTAGTCCACAGTCAGCCAATAATAAACACTGGAATACTATTGCGACCACGCTATCCTTGTGGAGGCCCATTTCCTCAGATCTCCCCCACCATGAACCAGAACCACCCCTAGCGTTTTGTGTGGCTACTGTAGTATTTCTTATTAGGGTCGAATCCAAATGGCATATGTACTGATGCACACAAGGGCCAATATACACAGCCATAGTCTACACGAGACATGAATTACTCGCATCTCTGGTCCATCCCAAAGTACACTGAGTTCCCCCACATCTACACCAATATCTGCTGTGGTCCCCAGTGTACACAGTGGGAAGTTAAGGTAGTCATGCAGTTTTAGCATACTCCTTTTTATACATTGCTTTTGAAGGGGAATATGCTAAGGAATCTGTCCATGACCTTGCCTGCTTTTGGAAGGCCACGCTCATATCTTGTTCAGCACAAACACATTCATGACAGAAGCATGGGATGGATCTTCTTTAGTGTCATGTCCCCTCAGAATACATGTATCTTGCATCCTTTCATCCATTGCCCATTGCATACCAGACAAGGCAATCAGAACCTCTGAGAATCCAAAAGAACATTGCCAGGCAATCTGATACTGGTTTTTGCAGAAAGAAAGTTCTGCCAGCTTCTGTACTCAATTTTTAATGTTTGTCAGTCAGATTTTGGTCCTAAGTATTCGAATGCCTTTTCAAATCAATCCTAATGTAAAGGAAGAAGTAAATGACACCTTTTGGATACTGACAGGTGCTTGAAAATGCTTTAGTTTAGGGTATGTCTACACTGGCAAGTTTCTGTGCCACAAGTTAGGCCACTTTTACTAAAGCGCTGGAATTAAACCGCTGTTGCGTGTCCACACTGTGCGGCTTGTGACGCTGGAGCACAACCACATTAGCAGCTCTTGAAACGGCAAAGACAGCAGTGCATTGTGGTAGCTCTCCCACTGTGCAACTGGCCACAGGGTGCTTTGGGGAGGGTTTGCAATGCCTCATGGGGCAGGCACAGTGTCACATGATGCAGGTTTCCCAATCCCATTGTTCCATGGGCATCCGACTACATTGCCAGCTGCTTTTCAACTGAAGGGGCATGTGTGTGTGTGACGGGGTGTGTGTATGGGGGGGAGAGAGAGAGACAGTGTGTTTTGGGGGACAGAATGTGTGTCTGCATGCTGTCTTGTAAGTTCAGACAGCGGCAGGAAGCAACCAGTCCTGAGGCAGGGGGTGGGGGAAACCCCTCGCCTCCCTCCCTGTGCTCTCTGCACAGCAATCTCACACACACACACACGCCTGCCTCTGTATTCAACTGCACCAGCATTCCACATTAATGGTTTGCTTTGTGTCCTGGAGCAGATCAACACAGAACGCAAAGGCTGTCAGAAAAGGTGCTTTGAAAGGGGAGGGGCACATGGCTCCAGGGCAGCCGAGCTCAAAATAATGAACAGAGCCGTCACTTGAGGCATTAGGGGACAGCTCTGGAGGCCAATTACAGCGCAGAAAGCAATCTAGCATCTACACTGGCAATAGAGCCCTGGAGCCTCTGCACAAACAGCCTCACGACTTCTCGTCGAGGTGAGTTTTTTGCAGCGCTGCAACTGAGGAGTTTCTGCGCACCAAGAGACTTGGCAGTGTGTACACGGCTGCAGTTTGAGCACAAAAAGGTGCTTTACTCTGCAGAAACTTGACAGTGTAGACAAGCCTTTAAGACTGTAAGCTCTTCAGCTTCACTGTGTCTAAAATGTATTTGCCCAGTGCTTAGAATGGGACCTTGCTCCTAATTAAGGCTTCTGGGGGTGACTGCAATGCAAGTATCCAATACCACCTTCTTAGTCTTTCCTTATTCAACCATTCAGAATGCAAAGAGACTTTTTTTACTACATTAGCATCATAAATCAAAGGTTATGTTGCATATGACAGGGGTGGGGAAATCTATTACTTCCTTTCACTGCGTCGTGTATATATAATTTCTTTAGAACAGAATTCTTTACAAGGCAATTAAATTAAAAAGCTGCACATTTTGTCTTAACTGTTCATTATTCTCGGCAACCATTTTTCAGGAACATTATAGTGCTTTAAATAGTGCCAGCCTTGCTTGCTATTTCAGTTGAAAGCAGCCAGACTATTGATATGAGAGATACTGCTACTTCACCCATCAGTCAAGTGTTCTTCACTTGGTTTTACTGAAAGCATAGCTTGTCAGATATTACAATGTAGACCCTACTTCACCACCACCTTTTTTACCTATAACCAACTCCCCATCAATGCCTCTCTAAGGCCCAGATGCTATTCCCATTGTAGGCCCTACTAAAACTCCCTGCAACAAGGTGGCTCGCCCCTTAATAGCTGTAGCTAGCCAACCCTGATTACAGAATGAGCCCCACCTGAGAGAAAACCGGTGATTCCAGTATCAAAGCAGCAGGGGGAAGGGAGGCTAGGAAATGGTGGTTATGCCTGTAGAGAGTAAGAAGGCTCCTGCAGAGCTCTGAGTCAGCAGAGGGGGAAGGCCTGTAAAGAAGGAGAAACTCCAGGTAGGAGGTGCTGGGGTGCAGAAAGACTGACCTGCAGGCGGAGGGGTGTGCCCTGCTGAGATGAAGACTGTGTGAGCTTGTGTTTGATTTTTTTGGAAGTCTTTGTGTTCTTTTTGGATTATTGGGCCGCAGAGAGGCATAGAAATACGGGTTAGTCCTGAAGGCCTAGCGGACCTGAGGGCTGAATTAACTGGACCCCAGGGAGGGAATGTTTAACTTCTTCTGGACTGTGGAGTCTAAGAAGCCCTGAAGAAGAGGAAAAGAGGCTGGGGTACTGTAGAGACACCCCTGACCGTGCTCTGGAGGCAGTTAACTCCATTGCACTCCCATTCTCTGCAATGAGACAAGATCAGGCCCTAACTTAGTAACTTTTTAATGCAGAAGTGTAACACATCCTTGTTTAAAACAGTAAATATTCTGGATTATACTAGCTACTTCTTGGCTGTGCATTCTCCAATCTCTTGGATTTCAACATGAAAATAACAAGAAGTAATTCTTCCACTCTACTCTGTGCTGATTAGGCCTCAACTGGAGTAGTGTGTCCAGTTCTGGGCGCCACTCTTCAGGAAAGATGTGGACAAATTAGACAGTCCAGAGAAGAGCAACAAAAATGATTAAAGGTCTAGAAAACATGACCTATGAGGGAAGATTGGGGGGAGAGGGGGAGAATGGGTTTGTTTAGCCTGGAGAAGAGAAGACCTAAGTGGGGGCATGATTACAGTTTTCAAGTAATAAAAGTTGTTACAAGGAGGAGGGAGAAAAATTCTTCTCCTTAACGTCTGAAGATAGGACAAGAAGCAATGGGCTTAAATTGCAGGAAGGGCGGTTTAGGTTGGTCATTAGGGAAGAACTTCCTAACTGTCAGAGTAGTTTAAGCACTGGAATAAATTGCCTAGGGAGGTTGTGGAATCTCCATCGTTGAAGATTTTAAAGAGCAGGGTTACACAAATACCTGTCAGGAATGGTCTAGATAATACGTAGGACATGTCTCCACTAGCAATGTTAAAATGCTACCACGGCTGTGTTTTAATGTGGCTGTGTGGTCACGGCACCAGCGTTGGGAAAGAGCTCTCCCAGCGCTGTAAAAAACCCACCTCCACAAGGGGCATAGCTCCCAGTGTTTTTTTTTCACACCCCTGAGCGAGAAAGTTGCAGTGCTGTAAAGTGCCGGTGTAGGCAAGCCCTTAGTCCTGCCATGAGTGCAGGGGACTGGACAAGATTAGCTTTCGAGGTCCCTTCCAGTCCTATGATTCTGTAGCATCACTTGAGAAATCTCATTTTTTAAGAAAGACAAGGTGGGTAGGGTGACCAGGTGTCCTGTTTTTTCTAAGGACAGTCCTGATATTTGGGGCTTTGTCTTCTATAGGTGCCTATTACCCCCCACCCTGTCCTGATTTTTCACACTTGCTCTCTGGTCAATCTAAAGGTGGCAAAGGTAAAAATATTTTACTGGACCAACTTCTGTAGGTGAGAGAGACAAGAAGTTGGTCCAATAAGGTGGCAGAGCTAATATCTTCTGTCTCTCTGATATTTTGGGACCAAGATGGCTACAACACTGCATACCTTTAAAATAAAGGCATGACTGTCTTATTCTGCTGACAGTGTTGGGCAGGACGCTGAAAGCAAGTGGAAGAACCCTGATGTAGAATGTATGCTTTGTTTGTACTGCATATAATATAATTTATGATGCTGTTAAATATCATAAAATTGACATTCTTTCTTCTGTTTTTGTATTTTTCTTCCCAGGAATAGTGCCCTGTGCTTTCTTTTTTTCTCTGCTATGAAAACTGTCTCGCCTGAGCACAAAAAAAGAAGCATGAATTCCTTGTTGCTGGAATGGATTTATCAGAAGGGTCACAGAAAATGCACCCAGATAACCAATGGTAGCACAGAAAGCACCACAGAGGTGAGTGAGGCAAAAATAAATAATAATCCTAGTGAACAGAAAACGATTGTTTTCTTCTTCCAAAGTCTGCTTTAAAGAGGAGCAGTAGAGAAGTAAAAATGTCATTCAGATGTTGTCACTGTACAAAACCATATCTCAACCAAGAAGTGTTCCTTCTTTAGTAAAATCTAAGGCTTCTGTTACCAAAATTGAACAAATTTAAAGGTCACTTTTCATCAATTATGGTGTTCATTTATTTTTGCATTTCATTTAGCTTGTGGAATGGAACTAGTCTCTAATGCATATTTGCATGCTATCGTGTTTGTGATTCAAGCTCTGCAGGGGGAATTAAAAAAAAACACTGTCTTTACCGACACAAAATATTGTGCACACTTTTATTCACACTAGAGAATCAGTGCAATCTAGAGGTTAGTGCAAAGGACTGGGCGTCCCAGTAGAACGCCTGGGTTCTGTTTTCAGATATGTGGGTGGCTTGCTCAATTGCCTTAGGTCTGTCCCTTACACTCTGCTTCTAGTTTACATCTATAAAATGGGTTAATCCTTACCTCTGAGGATTATAAACATTAATTTAGATTAACATGCCTGGAGATTTTTGGATGGAAACTTTTCAGTGGGTGCAAAGTACTTGCAAGCCCTTTTTCTTTTTAACGAATGCTAACATTGGAGCCTAAATTGCCTGTTTTCAAATGAAAGCATCTGTCATTTGGGCTTGGGAGGCTTTCTCTCTCTTCCCCCCGACCCCCACTTTCCTGAGATGAACCCAAATATCTTCCTCCTTTCCAAGTTCTCTCGCTCATGATCCTATGGAGCAGGTGCTCATCCAGGAAAGCCAGCCCACAAACATGCATTATTGTGAGTGTAAATTCACCCCCATCGCTGACAGCTCCCCTTTCTGCGGTGATGAACAAGTTTCATTGTCTCTAAGTACAGCACAGGTCCATTATGAAGAGGAGCTGCTGGTGTGTGTTTCAAAATGAGAAAAGCTACATTGGGGACCAGTGTGTAGTGGTTTTTTTTGTTTGTTTGTTTTTCTTTGCCTTCCTGCTTTCAGTTTTGCACTTAACCTTGAACCGTCTAGTCTTGGGTGGATTGTACACGGGGAACTAGCTGATTTCCTAAGGGTTTTGTGGCTTCTCAAGGGGATGAGACACTGTGCTCACTCCAGCCCTCTTCCCCTGGTCTGCGTTCCTGGCATGACCTGCTGGTTCCTGATAGCTCCCCCTGGACCCAGCAGCAGAAAGGCTGGTAGCACTGAGATGTCAGGCAGGAACGGAACAGCCTTAGAGAATGGGATGGCTCCAGGCAGAGTTGTGGCTGAGAGGGGTCAGGGAGGAAGTCTAATGCTGTTTGCTGCCTGGGACTAGGGGTGCTTGGCATTGGGTCTGTGGGCTAGATCGAGGGGTAAGGCTGCACCCTATATAAGGAGCAGCACTAGCAAAGCACAGGGAAGGCAGTGCACTTGGCTCACCATTTCTTCCCTACTCCCTCCATGCTGTCAGAAGAGAAAGTAAGCCACTTCACCCTTCTTATGGGTTACTCCTCCCCAGGTGCCTGACCACCGCTAATGGCTGGGGGGTGGGAGAGAGCCCTGGCTCCACCCCTTCCCTTCCCGTCCACTTAGGCAGGAGTATCAGACACAGAGCCCCACCCTTCCCCTGCACGTAGGGAGTGCATTGTAAACAGCCCTCCTCCTGGCTGTCCTCATGTGCAGGTGTGTGGGCGGGGGAAGACTTACTCCTCCGTCTGGCTGCATTAGAGCTGGGACAGGCCCTCCCCTAGTGAGGGGGAGAACAGGAATGGGAGGAAACAGAGCTGCTATTTAGTGAGAGCTGAGGCACTGGGGAGAAAAAGGCATAATGGACAGTGTCTGATTTAAAGCCAGATTCTAGTACCACTAAGCTGGAGTGGGAATACAGTGGGAGCGGGACAGTGTTTTAGATTCCAAGCACTTCCTGTCCAAAACTAGAATGAATGCTGGTAATCATCTCCAGTTACCCCCGAGGCCATCAGTAAGGATGACAACTGCTATGGTAGCTAGCTAAATAGAAAATAATACAAACTTTTTGTTTTTTGGATCTTCTGTTTTTGGGAGGCTGTGCCTGCGGATCTAAATAAAAATAGTAAGTATGTTCATTTACTGTGCTGGTCACTTGCCATATTTTCCTGTGGGACTCAATCATTCACTATCTTCCACATGGTTATATCCCACCACAACAACACTGCAAGTTTTTCCTTAGAAGCAAGTGAGAACAGAGCCTGCTGGGGGACTGTGAGCCCCAGGTAAAACCTACTGTGATGTCTTCATGATTGGTGTGCAAATGACCTCTCAGGTAAGAGGACAAACACTGCCTCAGAAGGCTGAGCAGAGCTCCCCCTGAAGTCACTTGGAATAGCATTTTTCTAGGAGAAGGCAAAAGAGAAGTCCAACACATGTCGGGTAGCTCTGCAGGAATGTGCTACTATTTTTTTTTTTTTTTAAACAAACCAAAACAGTGATACCCATGCTCCTGTCTAAGAGTGGAAGGAAGCAAAAAAATCGGCTGGTCTGAGAAGGGGATTACAGGAGGATACCTCTAGCAAGAGGAGTCTATCATGTGGTAGCTGGGTGTCAACTCCCTGACACCACTAGCTTTTCAGCCACTCGCATGCTCTCCTCTGGGCTTATGCCAGCCCTAACTTTGCTTTGCAGGTTAACAGTAGATGTGCCACACCCTCCTTCAATTCATTCCCCTGTGAGACTTACCCCTGACACTGGCTAATCACAGCAATGCCAAGAGTCACTGCACCTCAAGGTGCAATGTAGCCCAGTTTTACCTTAAATCGTGCAGCATTTGTGAGCATTCACAATAAAGCAAAAGTAGGTTTATTAAAGTGTAAATGAAGATTTAACTAGCTATGAGGGTTGGAAACAAGTAGCTACACTAAAAACCAATCAAAATATGAACCTGGTTGTAAACTCATTAATAGTTTCTTTCCTAGCGAATCGGGTAGATTTCCCCCACCCCCAAGTTCAGTCTATTGCAGAGCTGGGTGGTTTCTCAAAACCCAGGATCCAAGCCGTTCATGGAAGCACCCTTACTCCCCAAGGGGTTTCCTCAGTGACTGGATCCAGATCCAGTGTCTCTCCCTATGCTTTGTTTATTCTGAAATCCGAGTTTTGTTTCTCTTTGCAGCCAGTGCGAAGCTCTGTCAGTTGGAATGTTCTTTTTTTTTAATCTCTAAGAGGCTTTGATTGTGTAATGGTTTTCCATTGATATTTTTGGGATGGAGCAAGGCTGATCTGCTGAGCCTTGCATTACCTCATTGGGTAGAGTGACAACTCCCTCTTGCTAGAAATGGCTGGCACAGAGGCATCTGGTGAATGAGATTTGACAGTCCAGAGAGCATACTTTCAGAATAAATACATTGATCCTTACAATATTACCTGTACGTACATATCACAGTGATGGACTGTGGACAAGTTACAAGCTTTCCGTAGATACCTCACACGATATCCCTGCTGGATAAATACACAGTGAGACATGTTTGGTGTAATGAGTCAGGTCTGAGGTGAGAGCTATTTACAAAGAACAGGAGATCCTTTGCCAAGGGGTCTCTAGTTCCGTCCTGTTCTCTTCCCTCTTCCCCCACCCCCACACACACCATGGATCCTATGAAAGCCACTTGTGACTACTCAAAAGGGCAGAAGCCTTGCAGTTGGCAAGGAGGTGGAAGAATCTAGCTGCTTTCAACAGCACAGTCCTCCATCTCCCCTATACAGTGTTTCCTAATAGCTCTCGCTGAACCAATTTGTCATAGTAAATGCAAGGTAGGAGTGAGGGGAAAGAGCCCTTCCATTGCTGTCTTATGTAGGACAAACCTTGATGGGAAACTTGTAGTAATACCTACTAGGACACTGCAATTCTGGCAAACTAGGTGCCAGCTCATGCCAAGGTCCTTCTGCCACAATTGAACATTGACAAATACACCATTGGAATCAGTCTGGCTCACCTGTGTTAGAGTTGTTAAAATGGGTCTTAAAATTATAAGAATGTGTTTAGAATCATAGAAGATTAGGGTTGGAAGAGACCTCAGGAGGTCATCTAGTCCAATCCCCTGCTCAAAGCAGGACCAGCACCAACTAAATCATCCCATAATATTAATATTTAGACTTAATTGAATGCTTGTGAGTTGCTGCAAGCATTAATTTTACTTATAACATCTGTCTCCAATACTGTAAAGAAATGTTAGAGTGGTGGTTTTGTGAGCCTCTGGCTGCAAGTCACCAGACAGGAGAGAAACCTCAATTAGTCTGAAGGGCTGGTCTTCAGCAGAAGGTTTTATGCCCTTCCCAACAGGAAAGATCCATTGATAGCAGATGGACTATTATGGGAGGTTGCAGCTGGAATTTCCCTATAGACTAGCAACAAGCTCCGCAAACCAGCTGAGTGGCGGCGGACCAGCTGAGCAGCGGGAACAGCAGAGCAGCACACAGCAGGAGTTTGCCTGGGATTGGTGAGTATCCGAGTGTGTTTGCTGGGAGGGCAGTTTGAAAGCCTGAGCGAGTGCCTGATTGGGTGGTAGCCTGCAGGGGGTGGGTATTGGGGGTGTCTGTTTGTTTCAGGGAAGCCTGGCTGTTTAAAAATAGCCAGAGCTCTGGGAACCAGCTGAGCAGCGGCGGACCAGCTAAGGAGCGGGGAACAGCAGAGCAGCACACAGCAGGAGTTTCCCTGGGAGTTCGCCTGGGGTGAGCCCAGTGAGGCTTACATCTTGCCAGCTTCTCTGAGGAAGCTCATAGTAGGAAGGTGATATGGAGGGGGGGTGTTCAGCTATTGTGACCTGCACTGGATGTGCCATGTTTGTCTTTCTTTCACAGGACAGAAGCGACTTTGTCCGTACAAAGTGCAAGCTAGTATCCATATTGGAAGAGAAGATTGAAGGTCTGGAGCAACAGATATCTACCCTGCGTTGCATATGAGAATCTGAGGATTTCCTGGACAAAAGTCAGGATATGCTTCTACGGGCACAAAGCTCTAAAGATTTAGAGCAGGTTGCACAGCAGAGCCAAGAGACCAGTGAAGAAGCTTGGCAACATGTGACCTCCAGAAGAAGAAGGGGGAATGTCCGGGTACCAGCAATGCAGACACAGGTAAGTAACCGTTTTCATGTTCTCTCCACAAGTACCATTGCGGAGAGTGGACCAGATGATACGTCTGGGAGGAGAAAGCAGAAGGAGACTCCGCTGGTTGGAAGGCATGAGATGCACTGTCCTGAGGTTGGGGGTTCCACGACCACCACTCCCAAGAGAAGGAGGCGGGTGGTGGTGGTCGGGGACTCTCTCCTCAGGGGCACTGAGTCATCTATCTGCCGCCCTGACTGGGAAAACCGAGAAGTCTGCTGCCTGCCAGGGGTTAAGATTCGCGATGTGACGGAGAGACTGCCGGGACTCATCAAGCCCTCGGATCGCTACCCCTTCCTGCTTCTCCACGTGGGCACCAATGATACTGCTAAGAATGACCTTGAGCGGATCACTGCGGACTATGTGGCTCTGGGAAGAAGGATAAAGGAGTTTGAGGCGCAGGTGGTGTTCTCGTCCATCCTCCCAGTGGAAGGAAAAGGCCGGGGTAGGGACCGTCGAATCATGGAAGTCAACGAATGGCTACGCAGGTGGTGTCGGAGAGAAGGCTTTGGATTCTTTGACCATGGGATGGTGTTCCATGAAGGAGGAGTGCTGGGCAGAGACAGGCTCCACCTAACGAAGAGAGGGAAGGGCATCTTTGCGAGCAGGCTGGCTAACCTAGTGAGGAGGGCTTTAAACTAGGTTCACCGGGGGAAGGAGACCAAAGCCCTGAGGTAAGTGGGCAAGCAGGATACCGGGAGGAAGCACAGGCAGGAACGTCTGTGAGGGGAGGGCTCCTACCTCATACTGAGAATGAGGGGCGATCAGCAGGTTATCTCAAGTGCCTATATACAAATGCAGAAAGCCTTGGAAACAAGCAGGGAGAACTGGAGGTCTTGGTGAAGGCAAGGAATTATGACATGATTGGAATAACAGAGACTTGGTGGGATAACTCACATGACTGGAGTACTGTCATGGATGGTTATAAACTGTTCAGAAAGGACAGGCAGGGCAGAAAAGGTGAGGGAGTAGCACTGTATGTAAGGGAGCAGTATGACTGCTTAGAGCTCCAGTATGAAACTGCAGAAAAACCTGAGTGTCTCTGGATTAAGTTTAGAAGTGTGAGCAACAAGAGTGATGTAGTGGTGGGAGTCTGCTATAGACCACCGGACCAGGGGCATGAGGTTGATGAGGCTTTCTTCCGGCAACTCGCAGAAGCTACTAGATCGCACGCCCTGGTTCTCATGGGCGACTTTAATCATCCTGATATCTGCTGGGAGAGCAATACAGCGGTGCACAGACAATCCAGGAAGTTTTTGGAAAATGTAGGGGACAATTTCCTGGTGCAAGTGCTAGAGGAGCCAACTGTGGGGGAGCTTTTCTTGACCTGCTGCTCACAAACCGGGAAGAATTAGTCGGGGAAGCAAAAGTGGATGGGAATCTGGGAGGCAGTGACCATGAGTTGGTCGAGTTCAGGATCCTGACACAGGGAAGAAAGGTAAGCAGCAGAATACGGACCCTGGACTTCAGGAAAGCAGACTTCGACTCCCTCAGGGAACTGATGGGTAGGATCCCCTGGGGGAATAACATGAGAGGGAAAGGAGTCCAGGAGAGCTGGCTGTATTTCAGAGAATCCCTATTGAGGTTACAGGGACAAACCATCCCCATGTGTCGAAAGAATAGTAAATATGGCAGGCGACCAGCTTGGCTTAACAGTGAAATCCTTGCGGATCTTAAACATAAAAAAGAAGCTTACAAGAAGTGGAAGATTGGACAAATGACCAGGGAAGAGTATAAAAATGTTGCTCGGGCATGTAAGAATGAAATCAGGAGGGCCAAATCACACCTGGAGCTGCAGCTAGCAAGAGATGTTAAGAGTAACAAGAAGGGTTTCTTCAGGTATGTTGGCAATAAGAAGAAAGCCAAGGAAAGTGTGGGCCCCTTACTGAATGAGGGAGGCAACCTAGTGACAGAGGATGTGGAAAAAGCTAATGTACTCAATGCTTTTTTTGTCTCTGTCTTCATGAACAAGGTCAGCTCCCAGACTGTTGCGCTGGGCAACACAGCATGGGGAGTAGGTGGCCAGCCCTCTGTGGAGAAAGAAGTGGTTAGGGACTATTTAGAAAAGCTGGACGTGCACAAGTCCATGGGGCCAGATGCGTTGCATCCGAGAGTGCTAAAGGAGTTGGCGGCTGTGATTGCAGAGCCATTGGCCATTATCTTTGAAAACTCATGGCGATAGGGGAAGTCCCGGATGACTGGAAAAAAGCTAATGTAGTGCCCATCTTTAAAAAAGGGAAGAAGGAGGATCCTGGGAACTACAGGCCAGTGAGCCTCACCTCAGTCCCCGGAAAAATCATGGAGCAGGTCCTCAAGGAATCAATCCTGAAGCACTTACACGAGAGGAAAGTGATCAGGAACAGTCAGCATGGATTCACCAAGGGAAGGTCATGCCTGACTAATCTAATCGCCTTCTATGATGAGATTCCTGGTTCTGTGGATGAAGGGAAAGCAGTGGATGTATTGTTTCTTGACTTTAGCAAAGCTTTTGATACAGTCTCCCACAGTATTCTTGTCAGCAAGTTAAAGAAGTATGGGCTGGATGAATGCACTATAAGGTGGGTAGAAAGTTGGCTAGATTGTCGGGCTCAACGGGTAGTGATCAATGGCTCCATGTCTAGTTGGCAGCCGGTATCAAGTGGAGTGCCCCAAGGGTCGGTCCTGGGGCTGGTTTTGTTCAATATCTTCATAAATGATCCAGAGGATGGTGTGGATTGCACTCTCCGCAAATTTGTGGATGATACTAAACTAGGAGGAGTGGTAGATACGCTGAAGGGCAGGGATAGGATACAGAGGGACTTAGACAAATTGGAGGACTGGGCCAAAAGAAATCTGATGAGGTTCAACAAGGATAAGTGCAGGGTCCTGCACTTAGGACGGAAGAATCCAATGCACCACTACAGACTAGGGACCGAATGGCTAGGCAGCAGTTCTGCGGAAAAGGACCTAGGGGTGACAGTGGACAAGAAGCTGGCTATGAGTCAACAGTGTGCCCTTGTTGCCAAGAAGGCCAATGGCATTTTGGGATGTATAATTAGGGGCATAGCCAGCAGATTGAGGGACGTGATTGTTCCCCTCTATTCGACATTGATGAGGCCTCCTCTGGAGTACTGTGTCCAGTTTTGGGCCCCACACTACAAGAAGGATGTAGATAAATTGGAGAGAGTCCAGCGAAGGGCAACAAAAATGATTAGGGGTCTGGAGCACATGACTTATGAGGAGAGGCTGAGGGAACTGGGATTGTTTAGTCTGCAGAAGAGAAGAATGAGGGGGGATTTGATAGCTGCTTTCAACTACCTGAGAGGTGGTTCCAAAGAGGATGGTTCTAGACTATTCTCAGTGGTAGAAGATGACAGGACAAGGAGTAATGGTCTCAAGTTGCAGTAGGTGAGGTTTAGGTTGGATGTTAGGAAAAACTGTTTCACTAGAAGGATGGTGAAACACTGGAATACGTTACCTAGGGAGGTGGTATAATCTCCTTCCTTAGAAGTTTTTAAGGTCAGGCTTGACAAAGCCCTGGCTAGGATGATTTAATTGGGGATTGGTCCTGCTTTGAGCAGGGGATTGGACTAGCTGACCTCCTGAGGTCCCTTCCAACCCTGATATTCTATGATAAGAGGCCAAAAGACTCTTATTGTTCTTCCTGCTTCCCATGAAGATGTCATACCAGAGACTCCTCCCATTAGCTGAGCTTTGCAGCTGAAATGATGTGGGAAGAAGAGTATAAAACCCCTATCAAGAAGGAACTGATTATCTCTATGCAGCTTGGACTCTGAGGGGCAAGATGTTCCGAGGTGTAAGCAAGAGATCCCCAGCTGCTTAGCCTGGCTTAGCGCTAAAGGACACACCGAGCTTGCTGATTACAGAAGCTTCTATTACATTTTGTTATAGGGCCTAAAGACTGACTGGTGACTGCTGAAATCTACATACAAAATTTGCAGCCAATTTGGAGTTTGTGCCCTGCTTTCTAATAGCCTGCCCTGAGCTTGGTCCTCACGCTCTTGAGCCAGTGCAGGCAGAATTTCAGATGCTAACACCACTAAAAGACTTTAAGACCAGAAAGAGCCACTGTTGTCAATGTTTCCATCTGAAGGGCTTTCACGGCTGAATTCACTGAACAGTGGTATGTTGTTGGATCCTGCAACCTTTGTTGCTTTATTCCTTCTGTTTCAGTTTTCCTCTGGCACTAGTTTACCTCTGACGCCACGTCACCTACTACTTGTACACGGTAGGTTGCAGGGCTGCTACTCAAGCAGTCCAGACTCTTGTACCTGTCCATTATGGACTGGCTACACAGCTGCTTTTATGGAGTGACATTCTAGATGTCTCTTCCATGACACACTTTAATGCATGGCCAGGAGTGTGCTGTTCAGAGCTTAAACTGTATATCACATGGCACCACCTAGTGGCTGACTAATATAACAGTTTAATATTCTAGTACAGTTACATTGCTACCTTCCAAAAAGGTAGACTCTAACTTCTGTTTGCCATGAACATAAGAGGCCAGAGAAGTTCACCTAGGGGTTCCTGGGAGGGATTATTCTTCCCTCCTATGTAAGTGAGCTTTTGAGCCCAATAACTTGTAGTTGAACTAGAGGATAGCTTTAAGCCACTTTAGCGACCTCCTAATTTTATAGAATCATAAAAATGTAGGACTGGAAGGGACCTTTATAGGTCATCTAGTCCAGCCCGCTCGGTGGAAGCAGGACTAAGTATTATGTGGACCATCCCTGACAGGTGTTTGCCTACTCTATTCCGAAAAGCCTCCAGTGATGGAGATTCCACAACCTCCCTAGGTAATCTGTTCCAGTGCTTAACCACCCTGACAGTTTTTTTTTCCTAATGTCTAATCTAAGTCTCCCTTGCTGCAATTTAAGCCCCTTACCTATTGTCCTGTCCATGGTGACAAAGGAGACCAATTTATCACCCTC